GGCACTGTTTGCAAAAAAAAGCTTTTGTCTCCTCCGTAAAATAATTTGTGCTGTTGTGACTCCTCTAGCCAGTCCTGCTTTATGTCCATTGCTAGATTTTCGTACCGACATTTTCAATTATTAATATCCAATACTAATACTTGTATGTTATTGAAAAGCTATTATTAGTAGTAAAACAATAAAGTATTGCTTTTTAATTTGAGATGGTAAAATAAAGTTCATTTAGTTCCATTACTCGTTTGCACTAATCGTATTTTAGAATTTCATTTTTATTGTTCATTTGATATTTGTTATACCCTGTACTTGAAGTGTATATGCGTTATTTAAAGTATATTAAACGGTGGAAGAACCCATAAAATATGTATGTACATATCTTCCTAAAAAAGGTTTTGCACTCGTAATTAATTCTACATAGTTCTATAATTGTTTTAAATGTCATCGACAGATTGGAATGCCCACAAGTAGATATAGTGACAGGCTACTGAGGCACCGCAGTTTGCTTGCAAGAGGACTAATTGCTGCCAGACCTTTCAAAACTATTAGATAAGCATAAGCCACCACTTACTTATTAATATTCACGCGGAAGTGCTCGAGGTTAGGATATTTATATTTGTTGTATTGTTAAGGTGCTAAGCCTGTATACACGGATTCGATGCTTCTATTAAACATAGAAAAAAAATGTCATCGAAGTTTTTTGGGTAAAGCGTATTTCCCTGTCAGTCTTGCTCTCCTGTAGCATTTTCTCTTGTTTTATCTTTAAGAAGTAAAGCAGATTCCGATGTTAAGCTCGATAGTTAAATACTGACAATGATAAAGTTATTTAAATCTGTCTACAGAAAACTTTCGGGTATGAAATAGAAATGGAAAATGGAATATTTCTATTCTTGCTGAGTTATGCCAGCGAGCATTCATGGCAGCAGTCAACATATTGATGACCACAAACACAATTGGCTAACTGAGCTCTCATTAGTAGATTGTTCTTCGTCTCTCATCCCTGCTCTTAGCAAAGCCTCTTGAAACCCCTTCACGCTCCAATTAGTTGATAACGTTTGCCACCCAAACCAAATGAAATTAATTGCACATTTTAATTGACAACGCATCAAATCAATTTGCATTCTAATGCAGCAGCATGCAGCAACAGCAACAGCAATATCAACAACAACACCAGCGCCTAATGTACGTGGGTAAGTGTGCAGCCATTAATGAACGAACGGGCTGATTGTCTGTTTGCATGCCCAGCTGCTCTTCTGCCTCCCTTCCCGGCACTTTTGTGCATTTGCATTTGGCAAACGCCCTTTGGCATGCATAATGAGCTCGCCATGTATTTAACAGTGGCTGGTCGAATACCTTTTAATGGCAATAAATCAACCCAGGTGTACTGCTACGTACGCTGGGAGTGGAGCAGGGGAAACCCCTGGTTAAGTGCTGGGTAATAGGCGCGCCAAGCTCACGTATTATTAGTGAAGTAACAATGTACAGACTGGCGGGAGAACAAACAAGGAGTCAGACGCTGCTGGCCAGTACGGGATGGGTCGGAAGGAGCTTTGTTCGCTTAGAAACATTAAGGCATGGCCTATGATTTAATTGATTTGCAAGGCGTTCTGCATTTGGATTGCGGCTGCCTAATCATGGAGGATACATTTGTGTAAGTGCGGATGGCTTATAATGAAGCAATTGAAGCGGCAACAGATGTGCAGAACCACAGAACTTTAACCTTACTAACAATATATATCATGTTTCTACATGCTTATGCGAAATACAGTTTCTTTAAGGCAGATTTCATTTTAAAATACTTGAATGCAAAGAAGATGAATAGTTTTGTATCTTAAGCTAATAGTGTTATTTTTTTAAAACAGCATTCAACATTTTATTGTTTCAAAATTTTACAAAAAGTTACAATTTTAAAAAATCATTCAATACCTTACGAGTCATATTGTATTTAATTTTTTTGATCAGTTCTTTCCAAAATATGTAGGTATATATGTATATATCTAGGTATATATACATATAAAGAATTGTATCAAGCACAACAACTGAATGAAAATATCAATTCTTCTCTTAGATGTATGTATGTTGTGGGCACATATTTTACAATTAATTATGATTGCTGTAATGAACAATGTAAAAAAATAAGTAAAAAACAGACAAGTGGAAAATTGTAAGTCGAGAGACCCGATTGACTCTGTCAATCTGTAAAACAAATACATAAATATAAAATTAATTAAATTGGAAAAAAATTGTAATTAAAAAGACATTTAGATTGATTACACCTCCTTCTGGATTCGAACTCACGTAAAAGGTGAAAGACATGACGGACAGACAAACAAGGCCAAATCAACTCGTTTTGTAATGCTTATGAAGAATATCAATATATTGTGGGGTCTGCCACACCTTCTTTTGCCTGTTACATTTTTCAGTTTGCACAAACCTATGTTCTTGTACCTTTCAGGTAGAGAGTATAATGAGGAAATTAAACTCCTCCTGCAAATATAGCTGCAACGGCAGTGACAACTGATACAGTAACTACAACTCCGACCCCGTATGTAATTACAAAAATTGCACCAACAAAATAAATTCTTGTGTAAGTATACAACAACCACAATTGTAAGGCCAACAAAATGACATTTAAGTTTGTGTTCGCCTGGTTTAAGGTGCTAGGCAGTAGAGAAGTGCGTAATTCGTGAGACAAAATAGCAAGAACTCGATACTTTTATGGATAATCCAAGGATTATTAGAACATAGAATGTATAAACAAACAAAATTCTGATGAATAGGTTGGATAAATTAAATAGTTTTAATTAAATATGTTTGCATGAATGCGTATCAAGTTTTCTGATGCTCAAATTCCACATGCGTGCACCATTTCTCGATTTCGTTTTATATTTATATATATATATTTATATTTTTATATTTGTTGATTCACATAAGTCATGCTATTTATTATAATAAGATAAAAAACAATAAGCTTACTATAGGAAACACTTTATAGGTGTGTTCCAAAGTAAACAGGACTTTAAAAAAAAAACAGAACAAATGTTTTTTTCTACAAAATCAATTTATTTTATTCAAAATAGTGTCCTTCTGCTTCAATACAGTTTTTTGCACGATCCAAAAGCATGTCGAACGAGTGTTTTAGCTCGTTGGCCGGTATGGCCGCCAGTATGCCGGTGCAAGCCTTTTGAATGGCCTCTACGTCTGCATAACGCTTTCCTTCCATGGACAAATGCATTTTTCCGAAATGGTAGAAGTCGCACGGTGCCATATCAGGTGAATACGGTGAGTGGTTAATGGTTAAAATGTGATTTTTGGTCAAATAATCGGTCACAAGCGTCGATCGTCTGAGCAATTTTTGGTCGTCAGTCAATTTGTGCGGAACAAACCGTGCACACACTTTTCGTAAGCCCAAATGTTCGGTCAAAATGCGATAAATCGATATTTTCGAGATGTTCAATTCCATTTTCATCAATTTCAATGATGATTTCGGCTGATTTTTGATGAATTTACGCAGTTTCGATGGAATGTTGAAATGACCTCCTTTTGAAGCGCAAAGTAAACATGTGCAGTTATCATGCTGAATTGTAGTGCTTTTTAATTTTTCCGACGTCACATCTTTCCCAATACGTCCTTCGCTTTTTATGGCTTCGATTACGTCCTTGATTGAATACAGCAGAAATAAGCCAGAAAACGATGGTTGATTGCGTTGACGAATCGCCACGATACACACGGGAGTATTTTGAATATTGCCACAAAATTGGATCAACATCGGTTGAGCGGCTTCGGAGTTTATATGGAACATTATGTACGTATGTATGTATATATATATGATCCATATAAACTCCGAATGAAATGATGGACAGACAACATATGTATATATATATACATACATACATACTTCCATTTTTAGATAAGTATACAAGTATAAATAGTTAAATATTTTTTGTCACGTTTACATCTTTAGTTGGCAAGCAGCATTGGGTCTCGGCTGTGGTTTCTGCAATTTGTCAGCCGGCAACATAATTAATACTTGATTGAGGTAGAGTGCGTTTGTTGCACGCACACGTGTGTATGAAAGTGTGTGTGCGTGCAAGTGATGTGTGCGTGTGGTGAAGTGCCTAGCAAAAACACAACATGCGCTTAAAGTTTTTTGTTTGCGGTCGTCGCCGCCAAAGCGGAAGTTTTGTGCACGGCGAGCTTCAAGTGCATGCTACAGAAACAACAACAGCGACATGTCTGCTTTTGTAAGTGTATATGTGTGTTGTTTAATGCCATTGTATATGTGCGTGTAATTTATGTTTTCAACTTAATTAAAGTTAATTTTTAATGCACTTACATGCAATGCACACACGACACTGCAAAGTTAAGGAAGGGGCGTTCGGTGTTGTATGCAAGGGGGCGTGTCATGAGTGAAAAGCGCCCGCAAGCATTTTAACAACACTTGCCACTTCATGTTTGTGACATTAAACAGCAGCTTTTGTCATGCAATGAGGTCAACAATAAGCAACCGCAAAAAGTATGCTACGCTTTTTGCACGCACACATACACAGGACATCATTGTGGCTGGTTTAATGTCACTTGCCAATTAAATGGCTGAAAAAACGCGAACAAATGATGTAGCGCATCGTAGCAGCAGCACCAGCAGAAGCAGCAGTAGCAGCAGCAACAACAATAACGACTTAATTATAAATTACAAGCAACAACAAGAACAGGAACAAGCACACCAAACATGCACAGCAAGAAGTAAACAAAAAATGAGAGAGGACTTAACCAAACAAGCAAGTTGCGCCTCTGGCCATTAGCTATTCCTGTTGCAGTTGTTGTTGTGTTGTTGATTTAGAAAGAACATATAAGCACATGCACATATTCTTCTACATATGAGTTGTTGGTATTCATTTTTATTTGTTTTTCATCACAACTAAAGAAATAGCAGTTGGTATCTTGGTCGTGCGGTTCCAGGTCTTATTTTCTTCGTTTTTACCGATTTTTCCTTAGCTTCACTCCACTCAGACATCATCTGTATATGGTGAAATGCTGTCGAAGCTCAACGGACAATGACTGTGCAAAATTTGTTGACAATTTTCCTCACGCAAGTGAGGTAAATGCCTTTTCTCTTGCTCATCTAGGCTGAAAAATAAAAACAAGAAAATGGGGAGAGCAATATAATTTAAGCATACATGTATTTAAAGGGCTTAAATAAAAATCTTTTATAAAAAAACCTTTCTCAGCCTTCAACATATGTATATGAAGTACCATCGTATTCGATAGGCTTCGCGTCTAGGATAGACGTATTCAAAGCAAATTTCCGAAGGTTTTCTTTTTTTCTAATTTTTCACTAACTGGTCATTTTGTAATTGATCGATTTTAGGATAAATATAGTAAATAGCGTAAATCGAAGACCATTTTGCTTAAGGTACCAATTTATTATAAAGCAGAGCAAAGTAGTTAAGTTTGAAAAACCAAAAAATTATCAATTATGCTCATGTAATGGGAAAATAAAGTAGATCCGTTTAATAAGTTGGCCTTATAGGCAGAATAAGTGAAAAATTTGTAAATAATTTAAATAAATCATCATCGATTTCATAGAATACAAGTATGTCGATAATTTCTTTGAGTTTTTCTTTTCCAAACCTATAAAACGATTTAATTTATAATTCAGTGAACTATTACATCAAATGATAATAACTGGATTTTTTGAGCACGTTAATATACATTTGGAAAAACACACGGAATAAATAATTGTGTTCTATATCCATACAATCGTTGCTAGATAAGGGTCATGCTATTAATTTAAAAATGGCAAAACTATTTGGAGGAGTAAGAAATATAGTAATACAAGTATATCATATATTTTGTTAGAAAATTTACCTAAATACCAGCTTTAACATCTTGAAGAGCATGCCGCTTTTATGGCCGTTGTCCACGTCTAGAAGAGCAGTGCAATATGATTTCAGAATACAAGCGCGTCCATCGAAGCCATGTCTACAATAACCGATTGAGATATATACGAATAAACGAATGTATTACCGAACATTACCCATTTAGAGCGGTCTCCACATTCTGAAACAAATCACGCTTGAAAAAAATGCGATTCTTCTGACGTTGCTCCTTAAGGTCCGGAAATCCCCAATTGGCACGAAACCCGTAGCCGTATGATATAAGCGTATTGATTTTCAACAAGTTGTTTCGTATATTCGTACGCCACTGTAGTGAAAGTGAGGAAGTTGTGAAGTGATGAGTTGGCGATGAAATGTTTGACAATCAATCAAGTCAGCTGGACCGTTCATACTTATTACGCACCGACATACGCGATCCTTTCGGGAATTCCAAGTACCGCTTCCTACGGGACAATGCACGTTTAGAATGATTGTTGCTGCTGCTGTTGTCATATGTGTCTTTGGTATGGTTGTCATAATGCTGTTCTTGCTGAGGCAGCATGTCAAAGGTCTGAATGTTGCTGTTGTCCGTGTGCAGTGCTTGTGCGGTAAGCGCATCAGCAACCGCATCGAAATTGTTGTCAGCACTATGAGCGACACAGCATGTGGCCGACAACAATAACAACGATGACAACAACAAAAACAACGGCCGCAATGGCGACAATGGCGACAGGAGCCCTGAGCTTGTATTTGTGCAATGGACGGGTCGCACGAACGTTGACAGGCGCATGATGGTGATGGCTTCGCTCCTTGTTGCCTTAACCGTTACCGTAACTGTTTCTCCTGTTGCTCTCGTTTGCTGTGTCCGTCTGGCATTCATTAATGGTTTGGCATGCAGCATCATTAGCAAAAACAATAAACAATTGTTGCCAAAATGTCATCCAACTCGAATTACGCACGCAATTATCTATTTAATTATAACTACACTTATTATAAACAATTTTTCGCATAATTGAAAGTTCAGAAACAAACTTCCTCGTACTTGACGTACTTGACGCGTTCGCTTTTCTAGCCACTCTGTTGGTCTGTTCAACGCCAGGTACCTGCTAAGCCCACATTGTTGTAAGTATTATTGCTGTTGCTGCTTTTGTTGTTGATTTGTTGTCTGATACATTTAATATGCTTGACATAAATCCATAAACAAACAACGTGAAAAGCTTGTTTTTTGTGCTGCCGTTTTGTTTATTTATTTATCGCTTTGTTTGGCTTTGTGACATTCCGTGGAATGTCTCTTCTTGATTCTGTTTGGTCCCCTCTCCATGATCTGGGTTATCGCTCTTCACACCCCATCTTCTTGTTAACACTTTTCTGTTAGCTTTTTCTGAATCAGTATCTATGGCATTCATTACCTTAGATTCGTTCTGTAGCTCCTGATGCTTGTTGATATTAACAATTAGCTGAGCTTTGTCCAACCGGCACAATAAATATCCAACGACAAATAGATGTGAAAAATGGGCGGAGTTTGCCGCAAAATGGGTCAGCAGGTGAAAGCAATAGGAGGTTGGCTTTAAAGTGGAGCAATTTTGTCTGCTTGTGTGCTTAGAGAGGTGAAATTATTTGGGACCTGCTACCTGAGCGTGCGATGAGCCTAAAGCCATAGGTATAAGAATAAATAAATAATAACACATTGAATACAAATATAACCTACTTATATTTGGACTAATTTACGTTGATTCGTGTTTATTAGATTTGTCTTAGAATCTTGTTGAATTAAGTTTAGTTAGAAGTTTAATGGTGTCAATCTAAAATGTGTAGATCAGGAAATTCATTTTTAATGACATGTTTGGTACAATGATTTCATAATCCTTCAGTTTAAAAAATAATGGTTTTGTTAGAGTTTTGGTCCAAAGACAAAGTAATGCAGGAAATATTCTTCTATACTCGTCGAGTCAGCAGAAAATGCGCCTTCCTTATTTCTTGCCGACATTGGACTGATACTGCAAGCTTATTGTGCAATGGTGCTAATATAATGATTTCCATTTCTAAGAGATCCACAATATCGCCAGTCTTTTCTTTTATAGATCTTGTTGCAAGCTCGAAATTCTGTTCCAAAGACAGAGAACAAAAAGTATTTTGTTTAATGCGTCAGAGATCTAGACATAGTTATACAAGGTGTGTTCCAAAGTAAACAGGACTTAAAAAAAACAGAACAAATGGTTTTTTCGGCATTATCAATTTATTTTATTCAAAATAGTCTCCTTCTGCTTCACTACAGCTTTTTGCTCTACGTCTGCATAACGCTTTCCTTTCATCGACAAATGCATTTTTCCGAAAAGGTAGAAGTTGCACGGTGCCATAACAGGTGAATACGGCGAGTGGTTAATGGTTAAAATGTGATTTTTGGTCAAATAATCGGTCACAAGCGTCGATCGATGAGAGCAATTTTCGGTCGTCAGTCAATTTGTCCTCATTTATGTCCTCACGACCACTTTGAAAACGTTGAAACCACTCGTGCGCTCTGCTACGGGATAGGCAATCATCGCCATAAACTTGTTCTAGCAATTGAAACGCTTCGGTAAAAGTTTTACCAATTTTAAAACCAAATTTAATGTTGGCTCTTTCTTCGAAGCTCATTTTCGCACCGATAACACAAACATACTGGCACTTAAAACGCAATAACTTCACTTCCAATCGATGAAATGTCATGAAATTCCCACTGGGCAATCGATAAGGATAGCAGATTCTAACGCACCAGTCACCAGGGGGCGCTAGAATCAAAAAGTCCTGTTTACTTTGGAACGCTCCTTGTAACATTTAAATTGTAGCATATTTAAAAAAAAAAATTAACCGTTGTTTGATAGGATTGCTTCATATTAACAGAATGGGCGATAGAAATCGACGGAATCTGGTTTTCAGGTTAGCTATGTTATACTGCTAACGAACTTTTAGTGGGATATGGTCTTATGTGATTACGCAAAATGTTCTTCCTTTCCCCTCCCCTACTCCCCTACTCTCCTGCTTTTGGTGATTTTCCATAGCTCCCGCAATTCCTTAAATATTTTTAGAAACACACAAATATAGATACATAGTATTTCAAATTCTGGGCATCCGATGTTAGCTGTTCCATTTGTTTTAATTTTGATTCTTCTATAGCCGCTGTATTCTCTCGGGATATACATAAATATCTTTTGTGGAAAAATGAATATTCCGAGAACTCCATTTTAAACATAAAAGAATTATTTCTGAACAACTTGTAGTTATACTTTTAAGCAACGCTTCGGACAATGCTCTTTCCTTATGCAATATGAGGACATTAAATCGGTGCCATCTTCTGCACAGCTGAAGTCTATTAGGCAGCCGGTTTTCTATGCCAAAAAGTTGGCACTCAACTGTTGCCCTCCAACTCTATTTCCACTTAACGACCCATGTAGCGCAATTTCGCTCTCTTGTTGATTAAATTAAATTTCGAAAACTTTGCCAAATGTATTTTTATTTCCTTTAAATTAAATATTGTTAAGGCTTTTGTGCAACTTGTTTGAGACTCTCGGCGCAGCGGGTAAAAAGAAGGCAACTGACACACATCATTCAACGACGAAGTCAACGTTACAGAATGTCCGGACGGCAACATCGCGAGGCGAATTCAAACGCTGCAGGGAGCTGAACGCGATACAGCAAGAAAAATGAAGTGCCATTTATAAAGGCTGGCAGGGTGACAGGTTGGGGGTTACGGGAAGGTAGCGCAACAACGGCATGATGCAGCAACAAGTGAGCCAAGTAAGTCAACGAAGCAAACAGCATGAGGTAAGTTGGCATTAAAACGATTTTGTACAGAAATATTTGCATAGAAATTTATTAAGCATAATAATTTTTAGGCGGCGTGGAGTATTTTCCAAACGCCAATTCCAGTAGTGAGAAGGGGCAATTGTATTGGCGATTGCAGTCATCGTCCAAGGCATTCCGATAGGCGCGATCATAATGCACAATATCAGAGTTTTCACGCAGTTCCCGGCTGTAGAGGCGCTGCTTCGGAAGGCTAGTTGAATAAATACAAAAAACAAAAAATTAAAAATTATATTATCAGTGCAAATACCATTTTTATAGCCTGTACCCAAAGGGTGAAAGGCTATACTAGTTTTGTGCGCATGTATGTAACACACAGAAGGAGGCGTGGCTGACCCCACAAAGTATATATATTCTTGATCAGGATAAGAAGCCGAGTGGATATAGCCTTGTCCGTCCGTCCGTCTGTCCGTCTGACCGTCTGTCCGTCTGTCTGTCCGTATGAACGCAAGGATCTCAGAAAGTATAAGAGCTAGAATAACCAAACTTGGTTTCCATATTCTCCTAAGACCCAGAAAGTACGAGTTTTAGTTTTTTTTCGATGCACCCCCCACTCCCCCGCAATTCTTGTTTTTTCTTATAACTTCCGTAATTCTCGGAATTTTGAATTTTTTGGTAGGTACATCCAGTTAGTACTAATGTGTCCGTGTGCCAAATTTCATCATGATAGGTCAATTCTGAAGAAAGTTATAGCCATAAGTAAAATCGCTGCTCATGCGCTGCCTGCAGCTCTGTCGGCAGCGCTGCCCGCAGCTGTTGTTGTTGTTGCTGCTTTGGTTCAACTTTGTGCTGCATACATACACGCATAGGTACGTGATGTAAATGTATGCTGTTAAAACTGAACATAAACATGTTTTCTAATTTAATTTAATTAATTAATTAATTCATTCATTTTTTTTAAATTTATTTTTTTTTAAATTTTTTTTTTTAATTTTTTTTTTTGTGGAGAGTACAGGCTATTTTACTGTCGGGCTTGCTCGACTGTAGCGTTCTATCTTGTTTAAGATAAAAGGCTAAATGGCTAATTAAAACATTGTTGTTACGTCAACTATTTTACTAGAACTATGCTTGTATACTTGTATAGAAGTGTATTTGTAGCATTGCTGCTAATTACTTAAGATTATTTATATTATTGTGCAATATTTACAGTATTCGGTTTTTGGCGATATATTTACTTATATACATGGATACAAGTATATGCTTTATATGGATCTTTATTTACCTGAATATCGCTCGAAGCATTTCGCCGATCATGCTCATTTTGGTTCGCTGAAAATACTGACGACTCTCGCAGAGTGTTCTCAAAATGCAATCGCGTCCATCATAGCCCATGCTGTGGTAATTAGAGAAAAATATAATTGAGTATTTATTTGTGTGGTCTGTGATAATAAAGGTTAATCTTTTGGAAAAATAAATATTTAAAGTATTTAAGATCAAGTTATGAGTATAATTAAATATTTGTAGATATCATTTGACTATATCAAGTCGATTTAAATATTTCAGTATATAACTACTATATGTTTGATGATATGAGCATGTTTGTCCAAAATTATTGTCGATTCCTTGTTTGTAATTAGATTTTTGAAAGGTAAATAAATATATTATCTGGCTAAATTAAATAAACTCTTATTTTGTAGAAACAAAACTACTTTTAAAGTCTGTCTTGCCTTGCCACCAACTGTATCTACTCTTAATTATTATCTTACTTATTAACTATATTTTCAATGTCATCGAAGAGTCCGCGACGCGTGCGTCTACGCAATACCGAAGGTGCCACTGGATGTGTTGAAAAGCCATGCAAGTGTTGCAACACCCACGAGTTGTTCGGCAGATCATATGCCACGCCCCAATTGAGACCAAAGCTATTGTATGCGTAGTTGGGATTTCCTATTATGCCAACGGTAAAACAAGCGGCCACCTGAATATAAAGCAGATACTCTTGGAACTTGGCTTTGTAGCTGGTGTCCTCAGGCCCGGTGGTTCAGAACTGTGTCCTATTGCATGATTTTCAGTCATTTTTTAAAGTTTTTGTTTGTGCTTAATTAAAAATATATTTGAGATCGAGAATGTTCCAGAATTGGCTTAATAACGTCAATCTTTTACATGGTTAACAGGACATTGCCGATTTGGATTGAGTTTGCTTAATGCGAAGCGTTTTGTGATCACATTGATAACTTAAAATCAGGATTTTAACATTTTTTCGAATGCTTGAAAGCAATGTCATTTTAAAAAACTCAAGCTGTAAGCCAGCAATACTAGTACATAACAAATAAATTATAAGAAAAATTACACATGAGACTACATTTGTGTTTTTTTTTATATCTCTAATAGTTTAGGAGCTATTAGCTTCACATAAAATTCAAATTGTAATGCCCACTCGAGCTGAATATGAGCCACCGAGCCTGGGAATATGCAACATACAGAGAATGAGGAGCCCTCGGGAAAGCTGAGATAACGCTTGGGCCGACTCAGCTTGCGCAGCCAACGTTGTTGCATCGTGGTGCTGTTGTTATTGTGCAGAGTTGCCACCCCACTTGCTTGTGCATATTGACGTGATTTGCTAGACGAAATGACAGTTGTTGAAGTCGTTGTTGTTGCTATTGTCCTTGGCATATTTGCACGTTCCATCATAGTCATCAATGTTGGCGGCCATAAATCATTTAAAACGCTGCCCGTTTGGTTGCCCACCAATTGACAGAGTGCAGCGTCAGTTTTATAGCTGTTTTTGCTTTTGTTGTAGCTATTGTTGCTGTCCATATCGCTGGTGGTGTTGCTGCTATAGCCGACATTGTTATGGGGCATAAAAATCGCCAACATTGCATTCGTCGTTGTCCCGCTTACAATACTTTGCGTTGCTATGCAATCGTAAATCAAAAACTTTACAACAATTAAACGATAATTAAACAATGCGAAATGCGCGTAAATCATGGCTACGATGATAAAACCAGCGCGACAACTGCTCTGGAACGTGCCACGCCACCTGAACCTGGCCGATTGATGCCTTACCTGCAACTAAAAGAGCAGCGTGCGCAAAGACAAAAGATGTGCTCGTTCCCAGCCAGAAGGAATTGCCAAAGTGCAAATGTGTCAATTGTCAGTTAGCGTTAGTTTGTTCTCCATCTCCCTCCCTCTCCCTCTCTCTCTCTCTCTTTTTCCTTCTCTTCCTATAGCATATGCCAGAAAGACTGCAGTCACGTTTACAATAAACGACAAGCAGCAGACAAACGACTCACACCCACATAGACATTTACACAGACAGGTGTGCACTGCAGCTTAATTGAATTGGCGGTACTCCATTCGATACGTGTGTGTGTGTGTGTGTGTGGGTATAGATATGTGCGAGCAATCTAACATTGTTATACAAGTATGACTTGCGCTGAAAATAGTTAGCGTCCAAACGTCGATGAAAAGTCAAAGAATCCGCCGCGACATTGATCGATGGCTATGTGGCATAGTCTAAAAGATTTTCGTCGTTCCAGTAACAGAACTCTTCAGGCCTCTACAAAGGACATTTAATGGTTGTTGGTTTGTGGCATCTGACTGTCACTTACACATAAAGCGTATTAGACAATGAGCTAAATTGCGGGTAATTAGATAAAAGGGTGGCTCGAAAAATGGGAAATTGTCAATCGCAACTGATTCTTTGATTATAAATGTAAAGCTACTTGAAATGGTTATTTATAAAACGAGTATAGCACTAAAGTTTATGGTAGATCCAAGCTTCATAATAACTTTCATAATAAATTTGGATTCCCCATTTTTAGTTTTGTTTTTCATATGTTGTCCTGAAGTAATGTAATATATTAGTAATATATTAGTTTATTGCAAATAAATAAGTTACTCTATTAATACAAGTTATTATTATTAATTATTATTATTATTATTATTATTATTATTATTATTATTATTATTATTATTATTATTATTATTATTATTATTATTATTATTATTATTATTATTATTATTATTATTATTATTATTATTATTATTATTATTATTATTATTATTATTATTATTATTATTATTATTATTATTATTATTATTATTATTATTATTATTATTATTATTATTATTATTATTATTATTATTATTATTATTATTATTATTATTATTATTATTATTATTGTTATTATTAATTAATTAATTAATTAATTTCAGTAAAATGTTCGCTTGTTTCACCAAATTCATCATCATTTTCTTCAAGTATTCGGCTTAAAACCGTAGATTATAATCAAAATGCGGAGAATACATTATCAAAAGTATTCAATATACCCTCTCCAGCAAGCAACTCGGATGTTGTGCTGCCATTGTAGCGGTGTAGGAACAAGCAAGCAAGCAAGCAAACAAACAAACAACTTCATTAACCCCACAGGGCACACAACGCACATATCTGCTGTCTTAGTTGGCAGCATAAACAACGCACTCACGCAGACATATATACATAAGCACAGGCTTAGATGGCCACTTATGCACACACATACAGAAGCCAGAAGGCTGACAAGGAAGCCTGGGCCAGGCATGGACACTTGGCAATTGGTCTTAGCAAATCGCTTAGCTAACCATACCAACTGACCCATTTGAATCGAAAATGCTCGTAAACCAAAGGCAAAAGTCAACGATGATACTGGCAGGCATCAATAGTAGTGGGTGCCAGCCAAAACAGACAATCGACAAGGACAACAAGAACAACAAGAACAACAGACGAATCGAATCGAATTGAATAGAAAGAAAACAATCATGAAATACAAGAAAAGCAAAATCACACGATGAGTGTTAAGCACGTGAATAAGACCAATGAATGATGCTGCCTCTGCAAAGGTCAATGGGACATGGATGCCGACAGGCAACACGAACAGCAGACACTGGCACCACAAAACTAAAAGAAGGAAGCATCAGCATCCAAGTTAAAGTTAAGCAAACAAGCCAAGTTTTTGGTTCACTTGACAAATGAGAATGAAAGTGGAGCGCTCCAAAGACGCTGCAAATGACACACAAATAGTAGAGCGAGTTTTTGATTAGCATGACAATGCGGGGTACTACGAGTATAGTCCTGAATTTATTTAGGTGTTACTGTGTGCCGCCTTGTGATAAGGACCAAGAAGCTTTAAAGATTGGGTCATTGAAGATAAGGGCATGTGCGAGCAATATATTAACGTTATATGTAGAATGTCACGCCCCTGAATGCTGCAAATAATTTTCGGCCAATTATGAAGTAATTTGTTATGCATTTTCTCACCCTCTTGTTGTTGTTGTTGCTTGTCACGCATTAGCCAGACAGGGTTGAAGTTAAAGTTGGCAAAGGCCAAAATATACTTTTTCGGATATTAAACTATTTCCGAACGCATACAAAAAGCCAATTTAAATGCTAATATAAAATAGCAAACATTTTATTATTATGACAAGCGTGAGCACACACACACTCTCACACACACACACACACACACACACACACATTCATGCACACATGCTCGCCCAAAGCGTTGTCATGAGGATTGAAGACGATGCTGTGGGGGTTTTGTAAACGTAGCTTCGTTGCTTGCTTGCCCTATATGCTTCAGAATGGTTCGAGCTTTGTTAAGCCATACATATGAATGCACACATACATACAAGTATGTATATCTATATGAACACATACATATGTGTACGTACATATGTAGGTACATTGTGAAGACATTCGAATTGACAGAAGTCGGAGCAAATGGAAGCTTCTTGGTAGTGACAATGTCATAAATGAGTTCCACTAAAGCATGTCACAGAAGAAATGTAAAAAAGTGCATGATAGAATCTTTATAACCTCCAGGCATTTACTATGTTTTTCAAACTAAAGAAAATAACACTACTGCTCAAGCAGTTCTGTTTTGTTAAATAATAGTAAATATAAAAAATAATAAAATAACCAATAAAATAACCAATAAACACAAATTGAAAATAGCATCGACACTTATTTTATTATTAATAAAACGGAATGTCATTATCGAACCACAGACCAATAAACGGAAATACAAATCGAAAAGTTTTGAGTCGTGCATTAATTACATTAATTAATTTCATTAATTACAATAATGAAATAAATACAACAAAAACAACTAAATGTATTGACTTTTTTTTTCAATTACGTATATCCACTACTATTCTTAATTGTTGAGCAAAAAATTTGTTGCGTTGTGACATACAAACAAATAAGCACTGACTTGATATAATGCCCAATTTTTTTAAAGTCTCATGAATTACTAAAGGTATGAAAGTTGTTGTAGTTGTGAGATGTAGGCCAAATAGCCACACACACACACACTCAATTCACAATTACACTTCTTGATGTCCTTGCGTTCCTAAAGTTGACGTCGGACATATTAAAATCGACTTGTTTATGGAGTTGGCTACGCCTCTTTCTGGGCGTTATTTACACGTTTATTTAAATTAGTATTTATGGCTCTTTTAAAATACCGCTAACTGCAACTAACCACCATCTTTACTTTGTCGAAGTCTTGGCAATTGGTAAACATTTTTCTGTAATTTCAATATTGTGCCGGAGAGAAGGGAGCGTAATTTTCTAAACATTTATTGATCATTTTAATAATTAATCCGTTTTTATGCGAGAAAATATGAAGAAAGTGGAAATTAACTTCACACTTTACAAAATTATACTTATAGTATGTACATCGTTGCCAACAGCAGCATTTTTATTTGAATTAACTTTTTTTTTAAATTAATTGAACTTAGAAAACCTAGTTTGGTTACATTGAAACAAAATCAATGGCACTCGTCATCATAGTACATATGTATAAAATAAGGAAAACAAGGGAGTTTCTATGAGAACTTTGTCTGCATCTTACCTGCCCATCATCGCCTCCAGCTGTCCATAAAGGTCTCTACGATGTCTGCGTTTGATTTGTATAACACCCGCTTTCTTTGAACGGAAGCCGTGCAAATGGTGCAGTACCCACGTCACATTGGGCAAGTCATAGGCAACACCCCAATTCAGACCGAAACTCAAATAGAGTAAATTGGGATTACCGAGCACGCCTGTAGTTAAGCAAATAGCAGCCTGCGTTTTGACCAAGGGTTAAACAATATTCAACGCTTTTGTAGCATATGCACTCAGAGAAACTTCAGAATCTGTACAAATATAGTTCACATATGAAAGTTATTCTACAAATTTCATGGTTTATTATAAACAAACGAAAATATTTTCTAATATTAAATAAAAGATGTATTATTTTTGCAAAATCTTATTAAAGTGGGCAGATGGGCATTTATATATCAGTCAACATCCCGTACATTTAAAAAATTGGACTTAAATTTTAGGGTTGTGTAGAAATATTGTTTTAAAATTGGACTTTTTACCAATATGCTTAAGAACCTTTGACCTTTGACTTAAGTGAATTTGTCTTTGGGCCTTCATTTTTCCTTGAGTGCACATTTCTTTAACTAAAGGAGTCTAATAATACCTGTTTGGCTCTTGACCATTTGCATTGAGTGGCCATCGGTAGTGCCAGTGGCTGCCAATGTGATATTGATGCTTTTGTTATTGTTCTTCTTTTCGACAAAACTATCTTGCCTTTTTATAAACGCCACTTCAAAAACATTTAACCACAGTCGCAAACAAAATGTTGCTGTGTCTGACAAAGTATTTATGTTATACTTGTATGTTTGAATTGTGTTTGAAACAATTCTACAGACAAAATCAGGCAGATGAACTAGCAATTAAAAAATGTCAGCAATTAAAAACATAATTTGCAACGAATAGACATTTTTATTCAGAATTTCGGTAACTTCCAAAATGCAATATGCGGCGGGTGGCCTTTACAATTCTTGCTGCTCTAAAAAGCTATTGTTTGCAAGAACAGCACAATTAGTATACATTTCAATGCTGTATATTGCAAATAATGCAATTAATGACTAAAAAATCATCCATCTGCCTACAAACAGTCTCTCGAATCTCACTCTGTTCTTCATTTTGGCGTATGCTCAAGGCATGGCATTTATATGCGATTGCAGCCAATCTGGCTTCCAGCATCAATTTTCTGTCTCCACTGATAGTACTAGTCATTAGTTGCAATATTGGTAAATCTATACTGCAAACTCTTTATCAAGGAGCAGTAATAATATCAATTATGCGAATGCCGTGCAGGCCATTAATTTAATTTGGCTCCATGTGCATTGTATTTATTTTCAGGAGACTGGGTCATTTGTATGGACGCAACAGTAAGCACAGTTTTAGAGTGGAATTTATATAGTAGTGAAACGTAAAATGTAGATTTTAATGTAGATATCGCCTTATAATTTTCCTTATAAGGCGAGTTACGACTGCATTTCATTTATTCATTTCAATTAACAAATAATCATATTTTATAAATTTAACAAGAACGGAATGCTATAGCCGATTGGGCCCAACTCTTAATACCCCAGTACCCACCTCCATAAAAGAACATTTTATGATTATATATTGAAAAGATCACAAAGAATACAGGAAGTTATGATAAAAGCAAAATTTATATTGAAAAACAAACAGTGTCTGATTCAGTTCAGAGTAGAAAATCAGTGCCAGATGTTTCGATTCGGGAATTTGACAAACTAGTGCCATATTTACAAAACTTTGGCAAATTAGCAGATTTGTGGCATATCAAGGAACCGAAAGTGATATTATAATAGATTATTAAACCGTTCTTCCAATTAATCTCCAATTAACTGGTATCAAAATTATTCGTCTATCATGCATTTTTAAAGCAAAAATCCAGCAGAGTGACCCAAACATTTCTTTAGAGAGATGGCATTCTAAATCTAGACATACACTATTTAAATAAAGAAAATGGGAGCATTGTCTGAAGCTCCTGTTTGCACCCACCTATACAGCCGGCACTTCTACTAAATAACCAAATTAGCAGAACATTTGTTCATGTCTAATTATAAGGATTTCGTTGTTCAGTATCATCGAAGTGTTTCTTACTTATTATAGGACTGTGATCCCTGAAATTGGTTGAATACTCCAATTTTTTGTTCAGTATGTTGTAGCAGAATAGGTGCGTGTGTCGTTGTACTTGAGCTTTTCTCTGAGTGTATATGTAAACAATTTTGTAACTTACGGAAGCTGATGACCCTTCTGGAAAGGCCACAAACCGCTTGCCTCGCGAGAGTCTGCGTTGCGGGTTCGTCGGTTGTGCCTCAGCGATGGCTGCCAACGTAACATTGTTGTGGTCGATAAAGCTGGCTTGCATTTTCAAAGACGCTGTTGCATCTAAGTTCTCACTCTTGGATACAACTGAACTCTGCGTCTGATGTAGAATCAGTAACAGCAGGCCCCATGTCAGCAGTCCACTCATGGCATTTGAGTATTTTCCGATGATTGATCCTACACGAAGGAGAACTTGTGGGGTACTGAAGACTTTTCCATTTCTTAGACCCGAAATTCAAGTTACAATTTGAACGCTAATTGTAAGTTCTCTTCAAACAGTCAGTCATTAATTACTAAAACATACATAAGGTGTTAATTAAATTAATGAAGGTTAGTTCATTGTGCACGAAAAAATTTACTCGTACACTCCAAAAAAATGGCATACGTTCCCATTCACTTGTGTATCCACTTGGATTTATCCATTATCCTTTTATTCAGTGTTAGTAATTAGTCTTTCCAACGGGGAGCCAGTTAAACGCACATTGAGAATGGAAAATACTAGCGGACATGTCTATAAATATAGTTAGCACATACTACACTTAGGCAAAAATCAAGCATTTTGTACTAATTGTATCAATTATGGACTACGAATCGCATACATGGACAGGGTATACAAGAGCAAGGCTTTCGTGACTTAAGCTTAATTCTGGCTTCATTAACATTTTTATCAACCTTTTATAGAAATAGAAAGTCGTTATCTAAAATATTTGCTATTTATATTAATACTATGCATTTTTGAGAGTGGATGATACTAGATACACTATCAATATTTATATATTCAATTATGAATAACTAATTGAAACCAAATGGTAGATACTTAGCACTTATATTTAGACAGAATATCTACTCGTACATTCAAAACCCCGCATACACAGTGTTGAATTTTAATCAATTTCGAGTTCGATTATAAATTAGATGTTGATTCATACTTGATTCATAAAATGGCATAAATTCGAAACCTTATCTTAAATGTCTCCTTATATTTTTCCCGAAGAAACATTTTTTTTCTCTGGGTGTAAATATCGACGCAACTATGACCTAGATGTTGGGCTAGAACCTTTCACTGGGCCAAATGTATAAATGAATTAATTGCTTCACTAAATAAACATACGGAGCCATCAAATAATGCTAGACGGTTTCTAAATTAAGTTGCCACGCGTAGGAAATATTTGGACTTTAGATAGAGTGCTAAGAGTGAACAGAGCAGTTCCTACCGTTTAACTTTAGTTGTTAACAGATTGCAGAGAGATGAAGACATTTAATTTTAAGAGTTTAATATGGTGTTTCTGGCTACTACAGATGGAACTTTATAGCGTTGTGGCTAATGGCAATAGCACTAGTAGTAACAATAGCGAGGAAGTTAGCTATTTGCTGAAACGGCCACAAAATATGATGGAGTTGTTAAGCCGACGTAAACGTTGGCTTGTCTATGATGCAGGGACCTCTGTGCTTGTAAGTACGAATATATATATAAATTAATCCAAAAGAAAAAATAATTTGAAATGGCTAAAGATTCAGCAGTGACTGTTTTGTATCTGTTGTTTGTGAATTAGTAATATTTATTTGACAACTAATTTATTGTTTATATAAAGAATTTTACTCTTCTGTTCCAAGAACTACTTGTATCGTATTCATCATAATATTTATTTCTTACTCTCACTCTATTACTGATTGTGATATTTTGTCCAATAGAACTGCTGTACATATTTCTTAAAAAATGAAATTTATTAAAACTGTTAGCGACCCTTTATAAAGGACTTCATTAAACTGCAGCCCCAGCATTTCTTTTATATTGCACGTATGTTACCCTTCTTTGCTTCAAATAAACCCGATAACTAACTAAACGCATTTAATGATTTATTTCATCTTTGATGTCTCGAGCTTTGCACCTAACAGTAAGCGAGGCACACTACCTCACAATTTTAAAAATTACCCTTCCCACTTTGGAATCTATTAACTGCATTCCTAAACTTTGCCGTCGTTTTCGCAAAAACAAATTCATATTAATAAATTAAAATTGCTAAATCTTTTCCGTGTTCAACTCGGTTATTTATAGCTTTAGTGTGCGTCTCAAAAAAGTATTCCAATCACTCAAATCTGCAGTCTTTACAGCTATTTGAAAATACTTTTTATTAAATTATTATTTTTTAGATATTTAGCTTCACGAATCATTTTAATCTTCCCAGCCCCGCATTGCTTCGTAGAGAGTGTTTCAACCAATTTTCTAGAAATAGATCCTTCATAAATGATGCAACTCGGTTATTTATAGCTTTAGTGTGTGTCTCAAAAAAGTATTCCAATCACTCAAATCTGCAGTCTTTACAGCTATTTGAAAATACTTTTTATTAAATTATTATTTTTTAGATATTTACCTTCACGAATCATTTTAATCTTCCCAGCCCCGCATTGCTTCGTAGAGAGTGTTTCAACCACGAACAATTTTCTAGAAATAGATCCTTCATAAATGATGCAACTCGGTTATTTATAGCTTTAGTGTGTGTCTCAAAAAAGTATTCCAATCACTCAAATCTGCAGTCTTTACAGCTATTTGAAAATACTTTTTATTAAATTATTATTTTTTAGATATTTACCTTCACGAATCATTTTAATCTTCCCAGCCCCGCATTGCTTCGTAGAGAGTGTTTCAACCACGAACAATTTTCTAGAAATAGATCCTTCATAAATGATGCATACCTTACGAGAATGTGAACTTATGTCATCTACACCGACAACTCTTCCACTTAGCGCACTTAGATTATTGTTTTGTATTCATTTTTTTTAAAAATTTAAATTAAACGTAACTTCTGGTATACTAGAAATTCACAGTAGCCTCACTCTTTATATATCGTTGAATACTAGGGTACTTATGTGTGTATATCGGCAAAGTAAATCCCCTTCGACATTTCTTCATAACATTTGTCTACACGACTATTGTAGATTCGTGAATAGTTTAGTAAATGTATATACAGTCTATGTGAGTTAGTATTGAAATATAAAGGGTATTTGAAAAAGGTTAGTGTGTGTATTTTCCGCTTAGTTATTCCACTTATCCCAAAATCTCAAAGTTTTTTCCAATTTATTTATATTTATAAATCTTTATATTTATACTTGCGTCACTCTTAAGCATATATTTTATCATTTAGATTGGAAGTTATCAGTAAACAAAACATATCATTTTTATTGCAAGAACATGAAATTATGATCTGAAATATCGAAGAAACTGCTATCAGTTTGAGTCTTGAGGGAAACTTTTAAGAATTTTCCCCTGAGCTCATCAGGTAGCACAGTGATGGTCAGATCTTCTTGTATTTCTTGATGACTAGTCTCTGGGTACCTCAACAAATAGAATTGGTAATAGAGTTATAGGAGGATAGCAGTCAATGACGTGAGCCAATACTCCCACATTTTGGGAAATATTTCCAACCAAACATTAAGAAAGTAAAAATGCATAATGTTTTCAGATTATTAATATTATTGTTATTGTCAATATTTTTCAAAAAAAAAATCGCACACCTAACATAGATGACAGCAAATTGTGCTAAGCTTATACTTGGAGGGACACCCAAAGGCCTGGTGTGGTTGGCGGAATTAACGCTTATTTATTCGTTGCCTGCGGATCCTACAGATTGGCTTCCACGTCGCAAGGGGAAGAAGCCCACTATACCACCAATACCACCCCTAAGAAAACCATCAGCACCAGTAATGCCCTCTCCTGCTCCACCAGCAGCAATTCCACCACCGGCTGTAGGAGTGGCACCAGTTATAGTGCCCTACAATCTCTCGATTCCCGCTAAGCCTTTCATTATGGCAAACCCGCAAGGCACCCCAGTGGGCCCCGGTCGTCGCTATTTCGATGATAATTATGGCCAATCCGGCTGTCCAGCCACTGACTTATTTATTAATCGATATGGCACCTCCCACTGTCGTCCTTCATCTGTTCTTGAGCATCATCAGCGGCTTCGACGTCAACTTGAGGACGAAGGAACGAGGGTTTTGAATGATCACAATAATCCGCATGGTATACTGTTTGATTTGATCACATTGCTGTCCTCAGTGTAAGTACCAATCATCAGTATAAATCATATTGCTAATTAGGTACTAATAACTCTTAATATAGGTACAGTTACAAGCCGCGATATTGCATTATGCGGATGTTGTGCGAGTCACCCCATTTAATCTCACCACCTGGGAATAATCTGTTTCACGATATGTTTCGCATTCTGTTGCGTCAAGCGCATCCGGAAATTGCGCAAAAGCCGCATTATCGAGAGGCTTTTACGGCGGGTCTTTCGCTACATAAATGTTCCTCATTGTATGGACCACATTGTAAGCACAGTTTCCTATTGGAACTGATAGAACGTTTCCAACCTAAGAAGAAAATTATATACTGAAAAGGTAAAAAAAACAACTTTTCGATGGGAGAAGAAAATTAAAGAAGGGTAAATCAAAATATTAACTAAAAATACTTTACAACTTTGATGTAGAAATCACTTAAGGAGTTTCAATATACACTATACGTACAAATTAAGTTAAGTAAAACCATTCACTTAAGACAGTTTGTTCAATATTAAAATTAGCTTTAAAATAGAATTAAAGCAAACAATTTGTCAATGTTTGATTTTGTTAATTTATTTTGCATTTAATTGGCAAAAATGTGTATGATAACACAGATGAACATGCATATATCTCAGTGAAGATTTATCGGGAAAGAGATAATCACTTCAAAGCCAGGGAACGACGTAATAGAATGGTTTAAATCTACGTTTTGTGATTTCGTTATAGTCTGTATCCAATAGTGTACACTGGAAAGCTAAAACGCCAACCATATTTAACACGCATGTATTGTACGTATCTGCTCGTCCGATTGAACTCTTAATCTCCAGAATGAATGTAGATTTGACGTCCCCAAATAATTTATTGCAAACCAAATATAAGATATGTAAATTATTCAAATTTGCAGTTTATGTATTTATAATTTGAAGTTTGATCCAAATCGGTTATTTAAATCGTACAGCTCCCATAGCAATCAATCCTATGACAAAGTTTTATTGTTTATTGTTAAAACATAAAACAAATCAACAAACTCTAATCGGAGCTATTCAAATTATTGTATTGTATGTATATATTATTAAAAGAATACAAACATTTCATTAAGGATATGATATGGTACATAAAATCCAAGCCTACATATTTTACACTTGTGTAACTGGTATGATAGAAAGGAAAAACATTATTTATGTACAGGGTGCGCCATCTTTTATGTCGGTATGCAAACATTGAATATCCTTGAAAATAAACAAACGGTTTTCAAGTATGAGCTATTTTTTTTAAATTTGGTTCTGTACAATTTATTGAAATTTCTTGGCCTACTCAAGTCAATCGGTTCACTAATGATAAAGTTATTCAATATCTACATATCTACATAAAAGATGGCGCACCCTGTACAGAAAAAGGAAAATTGTCTGAAGCTTCTATTTACACTCACCGGCATTTGTATTAAATAACCAAATCATCAGGTAATTTTCATTCTAAATTATTATTATTTTCGGTGTTTAGTATATCAAGATATGGCTACTTACATATTATAGATCTGTGATAACTGAAATTAGTTGTATTATATTTTGTGACATCTGTTGTAGCCGAATAGGTGCGTGTGTCATTGTACTTGAGTTTTTCTCTGAGTGTATATGTAAACAATTTAGTAACTTACGGAAGCTGATGATCCCTCTAGAAAGACCACAAACCGCTTGCCCCGCGGTAGTTCCTTAGCGATGGCTGCCAACGTAACATTGTGGTGTTCGACAAAATTGGCTTACCTTTTCAAAGACGCTGTTGCATCTAAGATCTCACTCTTAAATATTTATTAAGTCCTGAACCTGTTGTAGAAGCATTAACAGCAGGCCTCATGTCAGCAGTCCACTCATGGCATTTGAGTATTTTCCGATGATTGATCTTACATGAAGGAGAACTTGTGAGATACTGAAGATTTTTCCATTTGTTAGACCCGAAATTTAAGTTACAATTTTAATGCTAATTGGGAGTTTTCTTAGAACAGTCAGACAGCTATATGAATTAATATTACATACCAATACATGTGCTAATTAAATTAATAAAAGTTGTTTCAACAGAAACATTTACACTTCGAAAAAAAAAGTGGGAAACTCACGTTTTAATTGCTTCCATTGATTTAAGCTTAAGATGTGGGAAATCGTGTAATATTGTTTTCAGTTGTTTTAAAAAACATACATAGTCGCATAAAAATATTTTTATATTTGAATGGTATAAGTAAGAAATTGTGTATTGTTTTTTTTTTTAAATCAATTGCTTGTAATTGTGTTCAATTTTTTTTATAGAGGACATGCAGTGCCAGTCACTGTGTGGATAGGCGTTACTCATTGATTCAAGTCTGATATTATTGGGGCCTATATTATCAAAATCATTCCAGAAGTAAAAGACAACCGTTCGAAGTTCAGGACAAGGAAGGGGATTATATTTGAGAAATAAGGAAAGGAAAACATTTCGAATGCAAGTGGTTGAACAGTTTTCCTTAACCCACATTGTTATATTATTAAAAGAAAATTTTTCTACTGCAATATTAACACTTCACCCTTTTTCTTTTGCACTTAGAATTTTCGGCAAATACTTAAATAAGCAACGATCTGATACTGAAAGGTATATCGTACCAGAGTGACAACAGATGTCAGTACCAATGTGGCTTAGTTGGTTATTCCGGTTAGTAACTTTCACGTTCTAATTAATAAATTAAATATTTTCACAAATACTTATATTTTAAGTTTATTTTTATGACCTGCCATTTTTTATTTGCTTATAAATATTCGATTAATGGTAAAATCCATATATTTTGTCCACAGGGGTCTTGGTTAATGGATTTATTGAACGGCCAGCCAGTTCATTGGATATTCGGAGTGGTAAATACTTGAGCTGAATATAGGTGTATACCTATAAATATGCAAATACAAATTGGTGCATAGAACCATTTCCTCCCATTGCATTGTTCAGGAATTTTATAAAAATTGTATTCATATTTTTGTTCACTAACTTTATGATGTTTTTTGTTTTAAACTAAGAAAATTGTGGTTTTACATTGCATTTTTCTCTGGGTGTAATTATCGACGTTGCTATGACCCAATTTTTGGTCTAGAACTTTTCATTAGGCCACCTGTCTGGATGAATTAATTGCTTCACCAAATAAACACGTGATTTACATGTAGAACATGTTTTGAGTTTGGATGTTGTGTTCAGATTGATTCGCCTTAGTCGTTAATCGTTTGCAGTTGGTCAAGAGATGAGGATCTTCAGTTCAAAGAGCTTCATATGGTGTTTGTGCCTCCTACAGATGCTACTTCATAGCGTTTTGGCTAATAGCAATAGTACAAGTAGTAATAATAACAAGGATGTGAGTTTTATGTTGGAAAATCCCCAGGTGATGATGAAACTATTGCAGCGACGAAAACGTTGGCTCGTGTACGAGTTGGGCTCCATGCTTTTTGTAAGTACTCGTATACTTTTGTCAAAAATATATTGTTTTTGGGCATTTGTTTTGGATTTTTCTTATACAATTGAATGCCGAAATGCTTTAATAGACTACACTGAAAAATCTACTGTTTTGGAAATGAACGTTTGTAGAAACCAGAAGAAGCAATTAAAAAAGATGACGACGAGACTATTCTATAGAGCATTGTCTACCTCTCATACGATCCGTCGCTCTGTCTGTCTTCCTTCATGGAAATATAGTACATATCCGATTAAGTTGAGTGAGAAAGCATATGGTTATCAAATAATCGAACAATGTTTAAGTATTAGTGGATTGTCAATAGTGGCTCGTGATTTTAGCCATAATGTGAAATAACTTATAGCTGTTGATCGCAATCGAATAAGTTTTTGCTCAACTATAACTCAGGTGACAGTTTCTGATGAGTATTTGTAGTTCAAAGTTAGATTTTCAGCATGATCTTATTGCAAGTAGTTCACTTTCTGCCTGTATATCTATATAAAGACAAATGTGTTCGGAAATATCCCTAGACTAGTGCTGAAAATTAATGCTTTTAATATCACACATTTAGTTGACACAGAGCCTTATTAGGCCTATAGTGGGACTCACACCACGCGGCTGTACATGGACCACTGAATTAACGCTTATTTACTCGTTGCCTGCTGGCACAACGGATTGGATTCCACGTCGTAGGCGGAAGAGACCCACTGCCCCACCGATACCGCCACCACCTAAACCCCCAAGTCCACCACCAATGGCACCTCCTGCTCCACCAACAGCAGCCCCACCAGTCTCAGCACCACTCCCCCCTCCGCCTGTAGGAGTGGCACCTATTATAGTGCCCTATAATCCTTCGAGTCCCACGCAGCCCTTCATTTTGGCATATCCCCAAGAGAGTCCAGTAGCCTCTGGACGTCGCAATTCGAATACGAATCGTGCACAGTTTAGCTGCCAAGGATCCGATTTATATAAGGACCAATATGGGACTTACTTCTGTCGTCCTTCAACCGTAAATAGACAACATCGGCGGCTGGTACGTCAACTGGAGGATGAAGGAATACACGTGGCTAATGACTCCAATAATCCGCAAGGCATGCTATTTGATATAATAGCATGGATTTCCACAGTGTAAGTTATATTTGTGAGATCTTTGATAACTGTATTAATATACTTAGTATTTTATTTTTAAAATAGGTACAATTATAATCAACGATATTGTATAATGCGAATGTTATGCGAGTCACGGCATTTAATCTTACCGCCAGGGAAAGATCTGTTTCACGATGTGTTTCGCATTCTGTTGCGTCAAGCGTATCCAGAAATTGCGCATAAGACGCATTATCGAGAGGCTTTTACGGCAGGTCATTCGCTACATAAATGTTCCTCATTGTATGGACCACATTGTAAGCACAGTTTCCTATTGGAGCTTGTACAACATTTTCAACCTAATCGTAAAGGTTAAAAGAAATACTGAAAAATTAATAAAGATAGTAAAGACGTAGAAGGTACAGGGAAAAGGAAATTGTATAAAAATAAAACAAGAATTAAATTCTAGAGTCGTGCGGGCCTGACTCTTAAAACCCTTCTACTCATATAAAAATATAACTAATTTTGTTTTTATTTTGTAATTCAGTTGTAAGAAATAAAATAAACTACAAATATAGTAAAATATAACCCCTGCGTACATAGATATTGAAAATTTTGTGGCCATATCTACTCGCATTGCATCAGGTGTAGTCACAAATAGTGACCATGGATGACCTAATGCAAAATAAAATGCTTCCTAAAAGAGACAGTTATTAAAAGGATAGTAATTAAACAGGACCTTTGGAATGAGGCATTTTCTGGTGGCTCCATCTACTTGTACATATATGTGACTAGCAGGCCTTTGCTGGCTCAGTATTTGTACTTATAATTATACGTGTATTTACTATATGATATTTCTCTTCTGACACTCTCTGAAGTTTCTAAAGAATTCATTTCCCAAATAGCAAATTACTTTGGTACGATTCGAGTTTGGACTAAAATGCAATAAATACTATGTATGGTTATATGTGCATACATATGTACATACATATGCGATTGGTTGGTGATGATAAGTCCTTTACCGGCATTCAGTAAAATTTCATTTCGTTTGCTCCACTGGAAGCGGGTTTATTGCATCTAAGGTAAGGGCATATTTATGCCATTGGTACTAAAATGAGTATCGAACAAAGATAAACAAGAAAGGAATGCTAAAGTCGAGTAGGCTCAACTCTTAAATACCCTGTACCACCCCACAAAAAAGTAATTAAATTAATTAATTAATTTAATTAAATTAATTAACTAAATTAATTTAATTAATTAACTAAATTAAATATAAAATATTCCATGCATGCATACTTACATTGACATTTACCTCAGAATCGTGCCTTATGCGTGTTTGTGTACTTGTACATATGTATGTATGTGTGCATTGGGCCTGGTTTTATTGCTATAACTTTCTTTCCGATCATTATATCATAATGAAACTTGGTATACGGATATATAATCACTAACCTAATGCGACTACCAAATTTTAGTTCAAAATTATTATTATTATTCAAAATTACGGGAGTTATAGAAAATCGTTAATAGGGGGGGAGTGCGGGGTGGATCAGAAAAAATGAACAAACTCGTCCTTTCTCGGGCTCAGGAGAATCTGTATACCAAGTTTGGTTATTCTAGCTCTTATACTTTCGGAGATCCTTGCGTTCATACAGACAGACGGACAGACAGACGGACAGACAGACGGACAGACGGTCATGGCTACATCGACTCGGCTTGTCATGCTGATAAAGAATATATATACTTTGTGGGGTCTACCAAGCCTCCTTCTGTGTGTTCCATGTGCACTCGCACAAAACTAACCATCGTTTTTAACCATCCAAAATTTGTTATTATCAAAGATGCAGTCAAATAGTGCGTGGGCTTACCAAAAATCGGTCCAAATCTTCGGTAAAATTAGTTCATATGGAATTAAATATCTTAAAATCCACCACTCATTGCATTTTACAAGTAATTAAAAATGTGACGACACTTGGTACTGCTTTATATCCTGTACCTAACACATAAAAAGGATTTGCTATCGTGTTTGTGCAACGTATGTAACAGGAGAAAAAGGCATCTTCGACCCCATTAAACCCCATGTATTCCTCCATGTATTCCCCCATTTATTCTTATTCAGCATGACGAGATAAATCGATCCAGTCATGTAAATCAAAGCCCACAATAAATGTAGGGTATTACTTGTGTTAGATACACTTTAGCTTAGGACACTGAATGTTTTAAGAAGTTATCTTAAAAGCAACTTTAAATGTTATCATGATTGGAATGATGAAATGAAAAGAAGAAATGTGGACCATCAAATTATATTCTAGGATTTGCATCAAATCCATAATATATAATTATAATTATACATTTAGCTGAGCTACAAAAATTATCAAAAGCCCCAAAATAAACTAAGGTTTCAAAGTTATGCCCAAATATATTCGAAAATGCATTGCACAAACAAATGGCCCTATTTTGTAAATGGTTAAGTATTTATTTTTGAACATACGAGTGAGTGATAGGAAAGCGAAATGTATATACGGGTATAAGTTAAAACTCCAACAAACTCTGTCGTTTCTCTGTTGTGTATTTAGTTCATTCCACATATTCCAATTACAATTTACTTGTATTATTCCTACAGGATTATTTCATAAGTAGTATTATTTTATTTTTTGCCTTTTTGGAGAGAAGCGTTGCACGAGCTCCAACAGAAAGCTATGCCGACAGTGTGGTCCATACAATGAGGAACACTCATGCAGACTGTAGCCGGCTGTAAAGGCCTCTATATACGATGGTTGATTGGCAATTTCCGGTTGAACATGATGCAAAAGAATTCGAAAAATATCATGGAAAAGAAATTCACCGGGTAGCGAGATCAAATGACGAGATTCGCAGAGCGTGCGCATAATACAATGCCGTATCTGGTAGCTATACCTATTAATGAGTATTAGTATTATTTCAAGTGAATATAAACTGCAACTTACGCCATGGATAACAACGAGATCACATCAAATAACAATCCATGCGGATTATTTTGATGGTTTATGACCACCTTGCCCTCTTCCGTTAGCTGACGCCGTAATCGTCGGGATTTCTTAGCAACACGGCTACAGTAATAATTGCCATACTTATCTCGGACTAAGCTCAGTTTCGAACAGCCTCGTTGTACTTGTATTACTTTGGCAAAGGACTTCCGAGAGTGCATAGGAGCTGGAACTTTTTGGGGATAAGCAAAAAAGAAAGGCTGAATAGGATTTTGAGGGCTGTACGGCACAATGCGTGGCTTCACTAATGCAGGTGTTCGAGGTATTGATGGCAGCTGCGGTTCCGGCTTGTGTGTGCGACGTGGAATCCAATCCGCAGTGCCAGCGGGCAGATCATATACCAGCGTATACTCTGCTATCCATATCAAACCACTAGGCGTAATATCCACTATAGATTTTGCAACGTTCACAGTCAACTGCCAAAAATGTTCTCAAGTTTCAGTTGCCAAAGCTCATTTTTTTCGTACTCACCGTCAGCGAGGTGCCCAATTCGTAGACTAACCAACGTTTCCGTCGCTTCAAAAGTTGTGCCGGATGTGGAGGGCTTTCGAGAAGAAAACTGACACGATTTGTGTTTGTCATGCTCGTATTCCTAGCGACAGGCGCATGGTATATAAGGAACAAGACCAACAGCCACCAGCATTTTGCAAATTTGCCTTTAATGGCATTCATGTTCTACAACATTGACCCCAATCGGGCACTGACTTAAGTCAAATAATTGCAGCTTCTCCAACCACAACTTGCCAGCAAATGACAATTCGTGCGACTACGTGGTTGTTCAATTGTCGCAGCATGTCATATTTGCACTGCTTTCCAGCTACATGTGGTCCGCTTTGGTTACCACCACTTAATTACTTTATGCTAACTAACCAACATGAAGTCCAAATTAATAAATGACAGGCGTCCTCCTTCTCCTTACCAACTTCATTTAGTTATAGTTAAACAACAAAAAAATTGCTCCGTCATATACAAGTCTAGTCTTCAATACACACTTCAATCAAATGAAAACTGAATAAAAGTATTATATATTACTGTTTTCGTTCTTCAAAATGTTTACTAAAGTAAACAGGACTTGTGAAAATAAGAAGAAAAAAATAATCATGGTTCAATTTATTTTACTTCCATATATTTAATACGCTTTGGACTTGGACGGAATCTCGAAGGAGTGTTTAAGCTCGTTGACCGACATGGCCTTCAGAATGTTGTCGGTAAAAGACTTTTAGATTCAGCCTTTTGGCTTACATGGCTACATAATCGTTAATTTCAACGGGAAATGTACGGCAAGTGGTTGATGGTTAAAATGCGATTTTGAATCAAAAACACACCTTGCACATACTTTTCGGTAGCCCAACTGTAAAAATTCCATAAAATTATGTTCCTGAGATGCTCAATTCCATTCATATTAATTTCACGCACTCTTCCGACTGCATCTTCGGTAATCACGATCTTTGGTTGGCCAAAATTTTTGTCGTCATTCAAGACATTACGACCAATTTTATTTTAGAACGCAGCTTGTATCAGAAGACTATCAAGAAACCATCAAACTGTTAGTAGGGGTTATTATGTAATTATCGTAAATAGAGAACATAACAAATAAATATATAGACTTGCAAATTTTAATGCAATATTTTGATAAATGTGCTAAGGAACGCACAAACATAGCACGAGGAGCACATAGGTGAATCGGGTTACCAAGTTTGGTTATTCTAGCTCGTATACTTTCTGAGATCCTTGCGTTGATACAGACAGACAGACAGACGGACATGGCTATTGTCACCCTGATCAATAATATATATACTTTGTGGGGTCTGCCACGCCTCCTTCTGTGTGTTACATACATTCGCACAAAACTAGTAGTCCCTTGTACTCTTTGGGTAGAGGGTATAAAAAGATAATGAAAATATACGAGTTATAGTATAATGTTGATCATACCAGACATTCTAGTTCAGCTACTGGAGAGATGTAATCACAACAGCATTATCCAAAAAAATGTCATCAATAGGACCAATAACTGATATTGGAAGTTCTGTTACGATCTTGTTTGTGTGGCACTGTGCTCGGAGTAAATATATTTAATATTTTTCGGTAGAATGTGAGAGATAAATTCACTTGTGCGTGTGAGTGTGCTCGTACAAGTTTGCATCCAAAAACAACAAACATTTTTATTATGTGCGAGAACGAGAAAAAAATGCAATTGAATATAAACAAATACGCAAACTGAAATTTTTATTGACAGTTTTATGCGAACCATTTTTTTATGCCATAATTCGTAGTATTTGTTTTTGACTTTACTGCTAGCACTGCCTCTGCTGCAATTTGTGGACCATTCATTCTGTGTTCCCTGTGTTGACAGTCGGAGCGTTTAATATGGCACGGCAACAGAAAAAAATTAATTCAAAACTGGAATGTTTGGCTATTGACAGAAAATTTGCATGCCTCAGTGCCAATGTTGATTATGCTGAAAAATATCGGACTAACAGTGGTGGTGACGTTGACCTGCATTGTAAAACAGGTTGTTAATAAAGCGCTAGCTCTTGTTCCAGTTTGCACTTCCATGCTAATCAGTGCAGCCAACAGAGAATGGTACGCTAATCAGCCGCTAAATATGTTTACACAGCAATCAGTTAATCGGTCATCGTTACCATAGCCCGCTAACTGGCCAGTCGACAGTCTCGAATTGGACGCGGTGTTGTCAAAATGAGCTGTCGGTGCTTACTCGACTTTACGCTAATCGCACTGGTTGGGCATGTTATTGTCGCTCCTACAGTACAAACCTCATCCATAGATGTCAGTGTTCGAAACTCGAATACCACTCGGGCTGTGACGAAAGTGCTGAGTCGACACAAACGGTATCTGGCATTTCCGGAGGGCTCTTCGGTTTCGGTGTGAGTCTGCCATACACGCCGAATGGAGTTGACATTCAGGAGTTCATTGTTTCCACTCTTACTTGAATAGGCTGCCATTTGCTTGACTATTGGCGTTATTGGAAATCCTAATGTGGACTGGCTCAGTTGGGCGGTTAACTGGGGCGTTGCCTACGACCTTCCCAATCACATGTGGGTCCGACAGCACGCTCATGGATTTGCCAAGAATCTAACAAAGGCCGTGATCCAACGCCGTAACCGGCGCAGCTTTTATGAGGAAGTGCAGACGGCTCTGCATCAGTAAGTGGACCAACAAAAACGAAAATAAAAACAACAAGTTCCCATGCATCTCTTCCTTGTCAACAGTATGGGCTACAATGGTCAGGCGTGTGTGGCGCGGGCGCTCTGTGAAAGTGCCAAATACATGCACCTAAAAAGACCAAGGCGTGGCAATATGCTCGAGGAGCTACTGCGCATCGTTCTGAGCCTTCCGGCGGCACAGGTGGACCCACAGGAGCCACATGAGCATCATCATTACGATCAAATCTATCGGCATGCAACCCGAGATTCCCACGACTGCAGCTTGACCTATCCGGGATGTCAGTTCTCATTACTGAAGTTAGCATTGGGTAGCTATGCTGCAGCACCGGTGCAGCTTAGTTCCTATAATTTTATGTGAACAATTTGAATCTCAAGAGATTGGAAGAAACATTTTTAAGTGAACTGATTACGATTGTAAGCACTTACAGCCTATATGGCAGATCAGCTTTAGTTTCTGTGTGGCGCTTGGCTGTTCATATAGCCTCTTAATAAATTAAATGTTCAAATGCTATGCCAAAAGTTTTAAGATTGTAGATTTGCAGTGTACATGGGAGATAATATTTAGCACTTTACTTGTAGAAATATTGGCATCATAGTTGGAAACCGTATGTAGGCGTGCGTTTGGTAGAGAATTCTTCCCCATTACCAAAGTACTAGCAGACTTAACAGCTTTAATGGAACTAGTAATCGAAATGGGACCAAACACGTCTAATATTTATCCGAAAGTTACATAAGTGGGTACAAACTAGTGGGACAAGCTAGAATTAAGAACTCTGTCTAATGTTTGTATCACTTTACAAATGACAAATGTTTTTTTGCATTCGCACTCGATTCTGTAGTATCGTGTCGAGTTGTGAAACCAAACTGAAGGACTAGGATCAGTTAATCCAAATTCAGAATTTGCAGACTAATTTCCGCTTACTATATTTTTGTGAATAGAGAGAGGTGGTTTATTTCAGGGCTTTCGTATAAAGAGTGGGATGGTTCCTCCAATTAAAAAAAGACTCGTCCGATTTTTTAAAACAAATTATTTTCATTCATCTTTATTTAATAACGCGTAACATTTATTTATATAGTAATTGTTTTTTATATTTTATTTTTAAATTATTTTTCATTTAAATTTCATTCATTTGCAATATGTTGCATTTACTTGTATGTCTTTGAGTTGTTTCTGCCGCCTCAATATTAGTGCCTTAAATTTAAAGTTCAATGCAATTTCTTTCATTATACTTTTAATTATTTCTGCACACGCAAATTTTGTGTCAATTCAAAATTTGTATGCTGCATTCTTTTTGAAATTTGTTTTCCATAGCTTCGTTTTAATTAGATTTTTTTACTTGTTGTTTGGAAATTTGTTATTTCTGCTTAATTTGTTTTTGCTGCGCGTGTAATTTTTTCTCTCAGTGTCGAGTAGTTGTTAGTTGTTATGTAATATGTAATATGTTTGCTGTTTATTTTTGTTCAAAAGAGTTTGACTATATTTTAAATATATATCCATATATGTTTATGTATGTATGTATTTTTCGTATTTTTATGTACTTTCATGTGAAATGTAAATGCAACTTTATAATTAAATTTATTTTGACATTTACTTTAAATACTCATGCGCAATGTTTGTTTGCTGTTTGAATTTTTAGTTGCTTCTTGATTTGCAGTGTGCTTAAATCTAGACTTAAGCATACAATTTTTTTTCTTGTTGTAGTTTATCTTTATTAGTTGCAATTATTTTACATACATTTTTATATATTTTTTGGAACTTATGCTATGCCATTCATTTTTAACTAAATTTGTAATTTAGTTAAATTTTATTTATTTATTCATACGTTCCTCTTTTGCAAATATTTTTTAGTGAGCGCAACACGTCTAACTAAAAGTCGGTTTCGTTCTTTCTTTATAGTGGATTTTTATAACATACTATATACTTGTATTTTGTTTATTTGTAGTTTAGCTCGACGCTGGTGCATGCAAGTTTGCATTTTTATCTATAACTTTAATTTCGTGGTGTTGTTTTCCCCAGTGAGTTACAAGATTTTTGTTGCTTTTGCATTTTGGTTTTGTTTGTTTTTTTTTTATTATTTATATTTTATTTTTGTTTTGTTTGAGTTAAAAATCTTGTATGCTAAAAGTTGGTTTTTAAAAATCGATTACTTAATACGAATTGAAATTATTGTTGTAAAATGTACACAAAAATGGCAACTGAAGCACTTAAATCTAACGGCATCTAACAATTAATACAAAAAATATACGTACATACATGATTATACATACATACATATAAATATGTATAATATAATTCTAATGTATCGTATGCATACTAATATATAGTAGTTTAAAAATGATGTATAACTACTTGCTTTACATTATACAATACGTTTTATTTCGTTTTTGTTTTCAATTTTCAAATTTACAAGTACAAATGCCATTCAACGCACATCATATACATACATGCATATAAAACAATGGATGATACAAGTATACCTATAAATCAGATGATCGAAACGTGTTCCGTATGCACTTTATACAATAAATTTGTGGTAGGTATAGTAAGTTATAGGTGTATGTATGTATGTATTGAAGTTTGTCTCTGTGTGTACTATTGCGTATGCAAATCTATAGAAATATATTTGAAGTACTGTTGGGAAACTATTGATCGCACTGCCGATATTACAAATACATTTTCCGATTACTATCGATAGCTGCTATTGTAGATACTAAGGAGTCGAGCTGGCTTAGGTCAAACCTGCAAATTCTGTAGCTCTTTTTGACTAAAAATACTCAGAAGTCCGCAAGTACTAGCATTCTTAATATCATTGGTCTCCTTAATTTATGTGTGTGCTAGCATCAATAGTTTACAACTGGAATAGAATATGTACAAGGATCTACATTTATGAAGATCAAATGGCTTCTAGAAAGTAACATTCATGAGGATTGCGAAACGTGTCTGCCATTACTCCGTACTTATAGGCTTTTTTCGGAATTTTGTGTATATAATTTTATATATTTTAAACGCATTGAATATTCCGTAGCCGAGAAGGGTGCCGCTTGCGCAGTGTATCTTTTTGTATATTTGTATAACTTGGGTTTTTTTAAACTATCGTACTAAATCATTGGCTATTGAAGTTTTAACATAATAAGCAGATGATTCTAAGAAGGTGAGAAGCTCTTTTTCCAGTTGAAATGCAAATTTGAATGTCACGTAACCCCGAAAAAATTTGACTGAAAGTCAAAAATTCCATTCTAATTCAACTAAACTTATTTGGGATCATTGAAATAATTGTTTCTGTATAAATATACATATTTCAAAAAGGAAGATAAAGACATCGATGGTAGATTTAGTCAAGAATATTCCGGAAATAGGTAAATTATTTTGTAAAATGTACGGCCACTCAATACTCCGAGTACTCCCTCATGTATCCTGTTTGCCAATTAGAAGCTAATAGTAGTTTCTTGATTCCTCGACGAAATTAAATTGAAATTCAATACTTTGTCTTGAGTGTGTGTGTAAGTGTGTTTGAAAATATTTTACAAAAGTTAAAAGATTTCGATTCTCAGAATTCAATTGTTTTGATTTCGTAAATACGTAAGTACGGATAATAAAACACTTCAAATTCGTTTAAGTTCATTTGTTGTTCTTTGGTACTGCAAATGATGTATGAAAGGACGTGTGGGGGTGCTGGCAATTACTGTCCTGCAATTGCCAAGTCGTTCGTTGCTGCTTGAAATATGTAAGAGATGTGTGTTGCATTTTTTCTTGTTGAAACCGTTTTTGTATTCATTGAACAGATGAAACTTTACGCAAATTTGTGAGCAGCTGCAGTAGCATTGTATATATGTACAAGACGATGTTGGTTTGTTTTGGCATGTCGGAAGAAGTATAGTATACAAGTAGTATATAGTAAACAGGTGCATGACTTGACTAAATACAAGTTTGATAAGGAAGCGAGGAAGCGGGAGAAGCTTGTGTACGGAATTTGTGAATACATATTGCATCTATTGTCAGGTACTTGATAAGTTTTTATTACTTACTGTTTAGAATGAAATGAACTGATGCGTGAGGAGTCTATTGAAATGAAATGGTGTTATAAAGGAGAGAGAGAATGAGTTGTAAGCACTTGTAGGACTAACTAGAAAGCATTGAAAAGTCAGAAGCTGACACACAATTTTGAGTAAAGTTTTTACTTTTAAATAGCAGTCGCTTAGTTTATTTTTAATATAACTCTAAAAGCTGGTAATTAAATACCTCTGAAATGTCTTGTGTGCTCTGTTTTAGTGTTGTATTGTGCATGGTGTAACTGTGGGTGTGGGGCTCTGGTAACGAACATTCTGTTGTGGAGTACAATTGCGATTTTGCTTGCCAGTGCGCTTCCAAAATTCTTGTGTTAGCAATACGCAGACTTTGATTCTTGTTGTGTTTTGCTACAAAAGACGACCTTTGATTGGAAGACATACGATTTTATGTTTTTTGAATCTCAGGGTCAAGCCGCATATTTATCAAATAGTTTTGTTTTTCGATCTTATTCATTTTTACATCTTTTATATATTTTGTTTAATAGCTATTTCTTTTTTAAACTAATTATTATTACTGTATGTGCTACGTGTGACTTGGAAAATAAAAAAAAATGTTTGAAAATTATGATTATTTCGTGGTTTTTAATACCCTTTCCAAAGCCGTGAAATACTGTACTTGTGAATTATATAAATACAAATAAATGGAATACTTGAAGCAGCATATAAGTACTTAAATTTCTAGGGCAGTCAGCTCAAATGTGAAACTTCAGTGCAGTTTTTTTTTGTTTCTGAGCAGTTTTTTAAGCAACACAACATTAGTTTATTAATTTTCCGAACGTTTCAGAAGTGAATAGAATTCTAATGCATTCAAAAATGGTTTTTGCAGTTTACTTCCAGTTCTATGGATATATGGTCTTAGAGTACGTTATGTAATTAAACACTCTAAGAGGTTGAATATGATAGAGTATGAACAAATACAATTATAAAATATAAGTTGAATTTGATAGAGTAGCAATAAATACAACTGTTAAATATATAAATAATGAAGAAATCGACCAGATAGTCCATCAGAACAACAATTTGGCGGTTTATTATGTTTTAGGGCGTATCTTTTTAAATCTTTTTTGTTTTTTAGATTTGAGGTAATATAATTGCTCAGTGTTTACTCTCTGAAAAATAATTGTAATTAAAAGTATGTAGAGATAAAAATCATTTGGTATCATAGGATATATGAATGAGATTTGTTCCTTCCAATTTTTTAATCTACCAAATTGAAAATTGGGAAATGTGTCTTTAATAATGAAGTAATTAAGAAAGTAATTGTTGAATATATTTTCAAGATTCCTATTT